TCTAATTTATGGGGTATGGGTGCAGTGCCCAGTGAAGTTCTGAAAAATAATGTGTTTTAAGAGGTTAAGTACAAAAGGCAAGGCCATAATTCAATCATGTAAAAGATATATTTACAATACTCTGCTCTCATGATTTTCAAAGATTTTTCTCAACCCCTTAATCACCCTAGATCCACCGTGGTTGTTTGGACCTTTGTTTCTATGGGTTGGTTTAATTTTGAATCCTTCTATTTAAAAATACACCCCAGTGCCACCAGGAGGTGTCCGTGTGCCATTTTCTGGTTACTTTCCAGGGTGCTTGCCTTTTTTTATTTTTGGGGGGAGAGCTCCATAATAATGGCATAATAGTAGCAGTTTCTACAGAATAAATATTATTAACATTATTACACACTGCTGTTGTTTGCACTTCCAAACAAATGAGGATGTTGTGTTTGTGTCCAGAGAGTTCTTCATTTTTCCACGGATGAGAGAATTATGGATGACAGAGACCTGTTGAGTCATCCATCTTCTTCCCTTCTGGCATGCCCTGTTCTCTGAAATATACTGTATAATGTATTGAGTGAGGATATCAGTCTGTTGCTAGGGAAATGATGACTATAATCAGATGTTACACAGTCTACATTTTGACTGCATTGCAGGATCAAAAATGAGGCTGTGAAAACAAAGATTTTTACTGAAATACTTAAGTTGTGCCCTATTTGTACTTATGTATAATTTACAGGAAGACTGGAGTGTATACTTCAAAAAGCTAAATATCTCACAATATTTTTATGTTGCATATTCCCATTTGGTCTGTGATGTTTAATTGTAAAGTATATAGTGTAGTTTCAGTGCAAATACATGCATAGAATATATACAGATCCATAGGAAATTACAAATAAATACAAGAAATGCTATTACACTTCAGCCTAAAGTAGAGCCATTTTTATTACCACGTGGATATTCAGAACTATACATCAGAGTGAATAGTAAATCTATTTTCATCTGAACATCAGAGTGGGAGAAAAAAATTAATTGACAAAATATGCCTGGTAATAGAAGGTATGGTTCAGTTGTACTCCACACAGTGTCTTGAAAATCCTGTTCCAACCAAGCTAAAATACTCTGTGTTGCAACAGTCACAAGCATTACCTGCAGATGCTGTGTCTGAGGGAGGGCCATGTGCAGGAATGACACTTTTTTCATGGCTGCACAGTCAGATTGAGTTTTTCTAATTTTTATTGCATCTTCCAACCAATTTATTTTGACAAAGTGCACACAATCCTTGTTGAGAAGAAATAGCATGAAAACCATTTCCAAATACAATGTGTGTTGTATGGGTTATGGCAAAACTTCTTAAAATGTTGAAAGTTTGCCAGATCTAATTTAGTAGCCACATTTCTGTGAGAATATGCTTTTCAGGCTACCTGTGTAACACCCCAGCTTAAAGCCCCCCTCCCTCCCCAAATTTATGCATAATGTTGGTGTTTTATAGTCATCTGTAACTATAATTTTCCATCAAAAATCCAGCATAGCCTCTTCCAGGACCAATTATTGGATTCCCACAAGTGATGGCAGTCCCAAGACATTTTAAAGTAGATCTTGACCCCAAGGACTCACCTATGTTCTGTTCCATTGATAGAGAGAAATATTAAAGCAGCAGACACATATCATTACAGTACATGTGCTCCTGCATCAATAGCCAGCTGCTCACTGAACTGGAAAGAACGTGGGTAACAGAAGACATTTTACAGGCAAGTGTGTTGACTGAACTAGTGAGAAGCACAGTGAAATTTCACTGAGACTTAATGATAAGCTTCCCACATCAAATACACGGCTAATACACGTTGGCTAGATACTTGCCATTTGAGAACCCTAATAATAAGTGAATTCTACTTAGAGAAATGCATGGTTTTGCTGGTGTGCCCACTGAATTTCTTTACACAACCATGTGTTGTTCTTCTTTTATTGAAAAGAAGAACCTGCAAATAAAAATATATGAGTAATGAAATTGACCTGCTAGCATACTGTGTGGTTAAAAATAGATTTTCTTTGCTGCCTTGGAAGCCTGTTTCTGGGTTCATACTTAAAAACTGTTTTGTGTATCTGTTTCCATAACCATGTTTGATGAACACAATGAGACATAATTTACCTACTAATGCAACAAACCAGACGTAGAAAAGATCAACTTACATGCAGAGCTGCTCAAGATTTAAACTCTCCACAAGGATCTCTCATACCTCTTGTAGGTGATATGTCACAATTTGCTATAAATTGCTGCCAAGCTACTTTTTAAAAAAATTTCATCTCTTGTCCTTTTGTGTGCAAAAACCTGATTAATTTTTCAGGTTCAACAGTGGTTTGTTTTTTTTTCCCCACAAAACTAGATCTAAGCATTAACTGATTAACCCATGACAAAACAGGTTTATTATTTAGCAAATACAAAACACTTATCATCTGTCTTTGCTATTGAAAGAAGGTGGTGTGGATTTATAATGAATGTTTTTGTGTCAGAAATTTTGGGAGCACGCAAGATCATCTGCCTCAGTCAAACTTTTGTACAACTATTTGCTATCACACACTACACTCATGGATCAGCACCAGAGAATTTCCTAACAGAAAATGGGATTGAAAGTGTATACTGGTGGCTAACTTGCTAAAAACTTACCTTAAGAACTCATAAGCAAGTCATCACTAGCACTGGTCTTTTTAGAAACATTTTGTTTCAGGGTAATGAAGCATGTGTTGCCTGAAAATACCAAGAGATCATTTATACACACACATCATGTGCTGACAAGCCTGTCCTGTCCTCCATTCTAAAACATCAGCAGCTCCTAAGCCATAATGTGAAAATCAATGGAAAAGGATAGAACATGAAGTCCTGCTGCTTTCAAAGGATGGGGATGCTTTTTGTAAGCACGAGTGCACTATGTTTTTGTTTAGCTTTACTCTCTGCTTTAAAACTTGCTCATATTTTGTTAACTCACTATTAGATAGTGAACTAACACTCATCCACATTGATAATTACTGTCCCTGCTCTCTTGCAGGAAAAAATAAGTTCAGCCTGAAGAGGTAGAGAACAGTGAGAATGTTCCTGCCACTACCCTTATTTCTATAATTTTCTTATCTGTTTAGTGTTTCTGCTTTTTAAGAGCATTCTGTGTTTTATGCTGGAGAACAAATCTTTAATTTCATTAGAACCTGGTGATACTAGGATTGGTCTCAAGGGTATGTGGCACAGATTTATGGATGTTTCTGTTCTAGAGTACTGTTGAGAACCTGGAATTTGGTTCGGAAATCAAAATATCACCTAAAGTTGAACAACTTCTCTTTTTAGCTATTATCAACACATCCTAACTGTTCATCATATGATGGAAGAAGCTATTTTAGGCACTGGGCCCACCTGCCTTATTATTAAGAAGAGATATCCTCCTTATATTGCTGGCCTGTCTTCTTGGATTCACACTTCCTTCCTGGCTCTATTGCTTCTCTTGTGGAAAGAACTTTGAAACAAATCCCACTCTGTGCAGCGACCAAAAAGATTAAGTGAAACAATCCTTCCACTACAAGACTTTAGTCAGCAATATACAGTAATACAGCACTCCATCTATTTCTAAAGTATTATTTTACATCAGGGAACCACAGGAAAATAAACCAGCCAGAAAGAGATGCAGAGCAAAACATAGTAACAAGTCAGCAAAAATACAGCATTCAACATAGGAACACTGCTGAGGTAAGGCAAACTCTGTCAAAGCTGAGGTTACTACACTTTGCTCAGTTTCAACGGCAGCTCTCAGTCTCTCCTCTGAACAAAATTCAGGGATGCTTCTGAAACATAAAATTAAAACAGTAAGATCACCTGAAATTCTCCAATTTAGCTGAGAAAGGCATTCATACTGTAGAATTTCCCTCTTAACCCCTTTGGTAGTTGCTCCTCCTAGGCACCAGATAATTAATTATCCATTTGCACTCCTATGAGGATAAACCTTTTGCCATTTCAAAATTTTGGAAAAAAATGCAAGAGAAATTTGACAGATGCAGATCAAGTATACTGACATTTTTTCACATTCTGTAATTGTGTTATCAAAGGCCATGGTGAACTTTTGGCTCTAAAATGATGGTTTGATAAAGTAACAAACGTGAGTGCTTGCTGCTGTCTTTCAACACATGCTTTTTGAAGCACATGGCCAACATTAATGGAAATAAGCTGAAGAAATGCCAGTATCTCTGTCCAATTGTAGTGCTAAAATTATGGAAACAAGAACGTGAATACAGAGACTTTTAAAGAGATGTCACTTCAGACTGACCAAAGCACTGAAAACATCTGTCTAAAGAGACTGTAAAAAAAACCAACCAAACAAAAATGAAACGACAAACACACCACCATCCCACCAAAGCAAAACCTTCTAAAGATTAGGAGTATTCTATTATGCTGATATTCCAGACCTAACTTTGTTGTGTCTATGTAGCTTTTTGGGAAGATCTTCCTAAGATAAGCACGGATTAAACAGACATTTAACTATCATGAACACAATAAAATAGAAAGAATATACTGGAAGAGAAACCAGAGTGTCAGGTGAACTGAAAAAGATAACTAACAAAAGCAAAAATAACCCAGTCAAAGTCTGGTTCTGCCATCAGTGTCCCTGTTATATGATGCAATTACACAGAAGTAAAGGTGTGAATATATTTAAAGTAGCTCTTCTGTAATTGCTTTGGTAACAATAGTACTCAAGATAGAGTGCTGTGACTTGGCAGAGACTAACCACATGTTTACATTGAGACCTGCTTGTAGATGCTACAGAAATATCCAAAATTAAGACAGCAAGCACAGTTCAAGTGATAAATCAAGCACTCATACATTTCTGGGGGAAGAGGAACATAAATAGCCTTTTACTCCACTAAAATTAACGCTATTTTCCATCACAAAAAGATGGATTTTAAAAACCAGCAAAAGACACCATAATTTGTTTAAAAACAAGAAAAAAAAGAGGAGAAACAGAAGAAACAGGTACAAAATAGAGAGGAAAGGCTAAAATTAATTTTATTTAACAACACAAAAGAATTAAGAAGGAAAGTATACTGAAATAAAGAAAAGCAGTGAAGGAAAATAAGGAAAACCATCACTTTAATATACTGTAAGTACTTATTTCACTATTGCATTTTTCTGCAACATTTTACTGATGATGATTCATGGATCATCAATAAAGTAACACTATAAAAAATCCTCTAGAATCCTATTTCCTTCTGGCATTTGTGCTAGATTGACAGTAACTAGTCCATGACAAAGGGCAACCAGTTCATCTTGAAGACTTGATGCAAGCACAAAAGGGGGAGAAAAAATTAAAAAAAAAGTCAATAATAATGTGTTAAGTTTGAAAGGAATACCAAATGAAACAAATGAATTAGAATTGTTTAAGGATAACAGTATTTCCAAAGCAAATGGACTACTTCTCTTACCAAGAAGATAGGGCATTTGACAGCTAAGAAGACAGCAAGGCATTCAGCTTCCAAACACTAGAAGGTGAGAGTTAATATTACACGCATGAGCCACAAGCATACGGCTGGCTTGTTTTTATTAACACTAATAATTGATCTCATAATACTGATCAGAAGTGGGTATTTTTTCCTCCACATATCTCACAAAAAATTTTCAGGTGACAAGTACTATGATACATATGGTAGAAACAAACAGCTGTGGCCACAAAGATGTTTTGTTAACTGATGATTAATATATTCAGGAAGCAATCACACTATTCATTAGTAAAAGTTTACAAACATTAAAAAGTGCATAACATTTGAAACCAACAACACAAAAATATATATAATATATATATACTATATATAAAGTGACATCACCTCCTATTAATAAAAGAAAACAAATCTTCTGACCTTGTGATTGGTGCTCGTGTGATTGCCATGGTTTACTATCAGTCACTCTCTTCACTCACCTTAGTCACACAGAGGTGTGGCTGCCCCATTTTGCAGCATTCAGCCTCATGAATGGCCTTGTCTATTGGGGCAGGACAAGGGGGGAAAACAAATCAATCAGCAATAGCTACTGCAGAACAGGTTATTAATTTGTAGATATTTTAAGTGATGTCCTGGATGGACAAGCTATCCTGGTATTTTGATGAAGGCCCAGTTTGGACTGTCATTTTGGAATAGATGAAATGGGAAAAAATCCAGTCTTTGGGTGCTAGATGCCAAGTCTCTCACCTCCCTTTCCAACTCCAAGCCACCAGGCTACTGTAGCAGATTCTAGCACTTGGCTGTTCGGGTGCATCAGTAGCAGGCTACTGGCTGTGAAAACTCAACAGCCTGATCAACTGAGGCAAAGGCGAGGAATAGTAAAAATCCAACCCCTTGCTGGATCCAGCCCGGGAGCCACTCACTGGACTGTACAGCATTCTAAAACTCATTTCAGAATGCATAATTGGCAATAACCTATGCCAGTTATTTTCCCATGTGTAAACAAGGCCTATCTTTTACATTGTGAATCAGGAAAACCTCTAGCACCATGGAATTAGTTTGAATTTTAACCCATATAAGGTTATAAATGTATTCTTAAAACTACCATAACAATAAAATACTTGGAATAACATTTTAAAAAAATATCTCAGAGGAAGATTAAGAAATTGGGACCAAAATTAGAAAAATGGGGAAGAATAACATAAAAGATTCAATTTGAGTCTCTGATATGCAACTAACTACAGGCGAGTGGCAAAACTGTACCAAGGACACAACACACGCTCAAGTATTCACATTAACAAATCGTTTTGAAGGCTCATCTAGTAACAAATTAGAGTGTTGCTGAGTCATTTAGGTTTAGGCATAATCAATTGAGCGGATGACGTTTAGATCTATCATGTGCACATCACCACCTTATGCACAAAACCAGCCCTTTCAAAACGTGTGGTAGAAAAATTCACAGTAACAGAAATATTCTTCATAAGCAGTTGAGAAAGGGCAGTGTGGAGCATCTAAGTTGTACAATACAAAAACCATTGTAAATAACAGAGCTGTAAAACAGATGCAAAGTTCTAAAAACAGTGCTTTCTTTACAGTTCTTATAATGGGCAAACACTTTGGCCAGAGAATTTTAAACTCTGAGGATCACACAAGCCTTTGCTTAAGATACACAATTAGATCCTCTGATGCTTCAAAGGCCATTTGCTACAAGATTTACCTGTTCTACTTTCTAAAAGTGTTCCCATCGAGTAGCCATTATGAAGGGATCCATCTGATGACACTATCCCAAAAAATCAATACATGTTCAACCATTGCTAATGACAGAGGTAGAGAAAATTCTGTCTTCTGTCACAGCTTGTACCCAGATTTTTAGCATTGTGTTGAGTGGGTTCCAGCAGTGAAGACACATGCACTTTCTTTTCTACCAGCTTGCTCATGGAAACAAATTTGTTCCAGCACACTCTTGTAGCCTGAAAACATCCAGCAGCTGCTCCATTCGGTCAAAGTCGGATGTCAGCTTTCTTGCTTTGCTGCCTCCCCTTGGGCCTCCCCAGTTTGCTCACTTGGATTTCGTTGTGCATCTCCTTCTCCTTCTACAAGACAGGAAAAAAGGATGAGTAATCCACCCTAAAAGAAAGAGAACCCTGATTGTTCATCCATCAGTTTAAAAAACAAACTAAAAAGAAATTGAAACCGAAATATTAAACCCTTTCCTACTAAGATAGCTATACTTTGTTTTAGAAAGTGTCTCTTGAGATGCAAATTCCTAGCTGAAATCACAAGTATCACTTTAAATAAATACCAAGGTAGCTAAAAATGAATAAATTTAACAAAAACAGTAGAATATTTTTGAATATTTTTCACTATGATGCTATAATAGTATAAGAGGAAAAAAAATTCATTACACCAATCTGAACAGAGTTTGCTACAAAGAGCTGCAACTTCAATAAAAACAATAGTTTGTTAAAGCTGCTTTAGTTCTGTGCATCCGTTTTCAGCATCGTGTCCATGGTGTTCAGTCCAGCTGTCCCACTGCAAACCACAGAAGGATCTGAGGAACAGATCACACCCTACAGAGGCACAGTGAGCAGGCAACTCAAGAAAAGCATTGTGAAAAGCTTTTACTATCTATATGCAAAGTATTGCATTTTACAGAACAATTAAAGACCTCACAGGTTCAGGCAACAGGAAGGTGAGTGCAAGTGAGACACAAGTCCCTGAACACTGGACTGATCAGCTATAAATATACAACGAATAATGTTAAGACATACGTTGTCTCTTGTATGTTGCAAGGATTCTGAGTAATGACTCGATTCTGAAATGGCTTGATAAGGGAAGAAAATTCCATGGCTAGGCTATAAGGAGGTTTAGATAGATGTAGCAGTGTCTCTTAATTTTAATCTATAGATCTTTAGAATGAACACAGGGTTCTCAATGCAGATATTTATTGTTTCCACATTTCAGATCACACGGTGCATCTGCAGATTTATTTCTGTTTATAGAAAGCAGCATCATAAACGCCTTCTCTTTTCTGTGTAGAAGAAAGGGCAGGGGAAAAAAGTTCTTTGCCTTGCAAAGAACATTGCAAACAGCTCAGACATGACAGCTGTGTTTCGTGCATGCACTGAGTAGGCAGGAAAATGCCTCAAAGGATACTGTGAATTATCACATTCAACCTGATGAAAAGTTGCATGGAAACTCAATTACCTATTGCACAGTGAGGTTTGTTCTGTTCTTTATGAGTTGAGTAGTAAATACACAATTGTTTTGCAAGGCACTTTCCCAGAAAACTCTTCTTCACTTTCACCTCTCAAATTAGAAAGGATTCCATCAGGATGGATCTACATGTGATTATTTATTATTGGACAAAAATCCCTTTTGCCCCAGTTGTCTAAACACTTTCTAAAAACCTCCTACATTTGTTCTGGTACTGCAGAAGATGTGATGAGTGTAATTTCAGGGGGTCACTTCTTTTTCACCTGCTCTGCTCTCCATTTATTCTGACTACTACTACATGGGCAAGCCAAACTTTCCTGGTGGAAATCTTATTAACAAAAAAAATAGGAAAAAAGTCCCAAAACTGAAGAGCAAAAAACACTTTTGCAAGCTATTTGTGTTTAAAAGAAAAATCACTCTTGGACAAAAAGCCTAAATATTTCAGTACCTTAGTGTTAAACACAGAGCACAGAGACCCAGGGAAAGAGCACTGATGTTCTAATATACCACTTCTTGAAAGATTCTTCTCAACTTGCTGAAGAAACTCATTAATCTAAACCCATTTCATCTATAATACACTATCTTGGTACTAGCTTTTTCTTTCTACTGGCAGAGGTCTCTTACCAAAGGCTTTAAAATATGTTTACAGAGATAATTTTACTTTTAAGTTCTGAGAATCCCAAAGCTACTAAGCACATGGCCGTTCTTCCTTTAAAACCTGATAGCTAGAAGCCCTCAAGAGCAAGACAGTAATTTTTACACATTTTGAAACCATCAGGCAGTATTAAAAAAAGAAACAAAACTAAATAATACAGTACTCTAAGCCACAATACAGTTGTGTGAGTAGGTCAGCTGGCTAGAGTTACCAGACCTGTTAATGTACAGCTTTTAACTCAATTTTCTTCCTGTAACATTACTGACTTTACAGTGTCTATCACTATTCCCCCTGCTTACACCCAAAACATTTATACCATGGCCTAAAATCAATTGCTTTCACTCACTAATTTCTACAGCCAGTTCTTCATTCTGGTTATGTAGGTCTTTAACACCCTATTACCCCCATTATTTGTAGATGCTTGGACCACTACAACTTTTACAAGGAAATGCCCTTTTCCACGTTCTATAGCATGCAGAAAAGCAGCAGTTTCTTTTAGAGATCAGATCTGCAGAGACTTGTCCTCATTCTTCATTTTACTTTTACCTCACTACTTCATTCAGCTACAAACTGCAAGATCAAATTTTTTGGATTGCAATGGTTACCTTGAGAGTGTTGAGCAGGAGACCTACCTGCTAAAAATCTTTCTTTTGCTTCTATCCTATGATTGCTCATCCAGTTTTCTATCTATCGGATGTACATTGTGTTGTTTTTACTTAATTTAGATAAAATGTGTTGACACAGTCCTTGGAACCTGTATTTTGGTATTTGGTAAATATATCCATTCCATAGATAATAACAGGTTGTTAGCTTGCTATGGACAAATAAAACTGGGACAGTTGTTTTGAAGGGAGAGTATCACACAGTAATTATACTTATTATACATAATTATGCAGCAAACTCTTGATTATCTGTCGTTGGCTCATTGATGAGGGGATTAACCAACACTCACTTCAGGTATCAGCTACTGAGTAACAGAAAAATATGTTGTCTTTGAACAAGTCTAGTGCTGTTAAAAGCTGTTCTGTTTTTTTACAGGAAACGTATCTGCAGGCTTTTGAAAGTGAATGTACTAAATATGCTTAATTTACATATGTTTTATAACCACCTTTTTTTTCCTTTAACATCTGCATTATCCTACTCTGCCATTACTCCATGCAGTTGAAAGCAAACACACTTGCAGTTTTGCAAGAAAATGCATGCAGTTGTAATAGGAATAAAAGGAAAGAATTGAAACTTGATGTCTATATTTATATAATTAAGTTGTACTTAGCATAAATTGTTTGACATGCACCTTGAAAGAAATAAGATATAGCCCCCAAACGTGTTTTCTTCTTAATCTTGTCAGATGTGATGCATATATGCATCCTACAAGCATTAATATATTCTGAACTGGGATTTTACATAATTTTGCAAAATATTTTTTAGCCTCTCTTGATTTGGAATGACATCACGTGATAATACACTAATACTCACATGAATGCTAGGTAAGACAATGCCGTTTCCAATAATTTTTGTTTGGAGGCTTTTACTTGGCCCCTAGTTATACTAATAATACAGAACTTAAATGTATTTTCATTTTATCTAATGGAAACTGAATAACCTTCTGAAGAAGTATGCAGACACTTCTTGTGTTTTTACTATCTAAGGTAATTTTATCAACAGCTCTGTATGTTTTTCTGCATTGATTAAGTTACCTGGCTTCAAAAGGGATCATGAAGAAGAACTAAAGAGACTCCTGAAAAGAGTCTCTTATAGTCTTTCTCTCCTGAAAAGAGTCTGGCTTATAAGAACTCCAGTGTTCAACTCAAAAATAGGGATTGTTTTTATCTTCTAAATGGACAAGATCAAAAATGATTTTCATAAGTGTAAATCTGAGACTGAACAAAATTAAGGCACAAAGGCATTATACCTTTCAAATGGCACCTACTTCTTGTTTTTCCAACATTTTACACCTGTCCCCACTAAAATAAAATGACACACCTACACACATACTTATAAAACATTTTTTAAACAGAAATAAACTAAAGGCCCTGCCCAGCTAGAACTGCATGCATATAGAATCTCTAGGTTTGGCAAAAGGAATGACTTGGGATGTACATTAGTCCAGAAGCCAAAAAAAGAAGCCCTCCTTCAAAACAGCACTACAACCACCTCAGCATCAAGCTGCCCACGTGACTGTCCTGTGAAGAGACTGCCTCAGAACTCTTGTCTTTATCTTTGAGAAAAGGATGTGCACAAACAGTGCAGCTGTTTATCAACAGTATCTTCTTTGCTGCATTTATTTTCTTCTGCTATTATTAAAATAAGTTAAACCATGCCTTCCCTAACATCTGGAAAGGTCTTTCTAATATCTGTGAGATCTATTCATTAGCTGCAACTTATCTAACATAAAAATAAATACCTGAACATATTACTATTTTTATTTAATGTAAGGTCATGTACTCCTCCCTCCTCTCAACTGAATATAAAGAAGCATTTGAAAATGTTGGTAATTGATCTAGGATTGAATTACTGTTCATCACCTTAAAAGAAGGACAAGTATCAGCAGAAAAGAGAAAAAGACAATTTACTCAGAAACAAAGATCCAGGTAAAACAAACATTAATGCATTCCTATTGCTCTGTCCTTTGGCAGCTGAAAAAAAAAGTTAATTTCACAACAACCTTTCAGCAAACACATGGCTTCTCCTACAGGCTTCAAATCAGAGAGATCTACTAAAGGATATTATGCAGACTTGCGTTTTAATAATGACTTATTTTCTTCCTTATACTCTAATTTTCATAAAATTTACCCTGATTTGGACCCTTCCACTAGGCACTCACTACAGAACAACTTTTCTTTATTTAGGGATGTGTTGTACTTGCAAATAACTACCCTTTCCATTTATGAAATCCGTGATTCTTATTGCAGGCAACTCATGTTGATTAGAGAAAAAAATATTTCTTGTGCAAAAATAAATACCTGAACATATTACTATTTTTATTTCATGTAAGGTCATGTACTCCTCCCTCCTCTCAACTGAATATAAAGAAGCATTTGAAAATGTTGGTAATATTAAAGATCTAGGATTGAATTGAAGAACAAGGGAATAATGTGGGCACATAACCATGCTTTGTGTACTAGTTCTCATTTTAGTTTTAGATAAATATGATAAAATCCCAAAATATACTCACCTGTTTTGTTTATATCAAGCTCTGATAACTTTAAGGCTAGTTCACTAGAGTTCCCACCTGGAGAGGACACAAGGATGTCATGTAATGCATTTCTTCTACCTGTTCTTCCTGAAGCAATAAAGTCTGCATATGTAGATTCCACATCAGTCATTGCTAACAAATATCCACATAGCAGTACCTGGATGGGAGGAAAAAAAAGAAAAACAAAAACCACCACTTAGACCACCAGAAAACCAGCTGACTTAATGGATTAGGAATAGAACTAGAAGTTCCCATTACAGGGTAGATTGACACATCTTCTTTTACTGGTTAGCCAGTCTCAAAATTTGGAGAAAATAGAGAAGAAGCAGAGCAGAAAGCAAAAACACCGTGTGTGTTTTATGCCATCTGTATTCAACAGTATTTTAACCAACTTCATTTTCCATGCTTCATAAAGTGATAGTGAGTACTTTATAAAAGCAATGACCTCAGCAACATAATTTCTTTACAGAGTTGTCTCTGCTTTTAATATTAGCTGAGATGTAGGAGGTAGGCAGGGGGTGGAACAAAGTTCTTTTCTACAAAAAGCAGAGTGTAACGAGTAAGAAAGTACAAATCGATAATGCTTTTGTGTGCAGAACCTTGTGCTCATACGCAAGACACAGTTATGTTTTGTGTATATTCTTTCCTGTTAGCATTAGTTTTGGCATTGTATACAGACCTCTTCAGGCTCAACTAATTTATTTTGGTGTGGTAGTTTGCCTAATTTAAATGCATTGCCATAATGCTCCTGAAATGAGTGGAGACGTGCTACCAGAGCAAGGAGAACAGCTAAAGTAGAATGCAGAGGTTTGAAAGCAGTGCTCTGTAAGCTAGATATAAACTCAGAACTTCTTTTCATTAGAAAACAATTATTTCTTGTGTCATTATGGAATAATGTGATGATGTGCATTTAATGCAAGATCTGACAAAGACAACAGGAAATACAATATGCTATTTCAATCTCAGTAACAGAAAGAATTGCCTCTCTGCTGCAATATATGCTACAGATCTAAGCTAGCAGAATTTTATTTTCTTAATTTATAAAATGTTAAAGACAATGGGGAGGAGCACTTTTTCTCACTGATCACATTGCTTTTACTGTAGTTTTATGGGTACGTGTCTAAGGTTTCCTGCAAAATGCTAGGCAACCGTGCTTTCCTCATGTTTTATGTTTCCCATGTCATAGGGGAATCAGGGAAGCTTTCTGCTAGAGGAGTACTTTAAAGAAAAGAAACACTACAGAACTACTAAACCAAAGCAGCTCCCCCACACTTGTGCGCTTCCTTCATTTTAAGCAGAATTCCTCTGGTTTTGCACACTGCAGATAGAGGACATGGCCATGCAGGCAGCAACTCACAGCTTCCTACAGCAAGAGGCTTTAGCTGCTATTACTAAAGTAGCCAAAACTTCACATTTGCATAGAATGGATGAATCTTTTTAATCAGCTGCTACTGCAGGTGCTGGACACTGAAGCAGCTCTTGGAAGTCATCACAAACATTAACAGCAGAAAAAGGTTCAGCTTTCTCTCTTCAAATAAACAAAAAATCCCTCATTTTTAATACACACTTTTTATTTTAAAAATAGATACCAAAAAAGGCAACAGCCAATCCTTCTCCACCCTCACCTCTGAATAACTTTACAAACCCTGTTCACTCCTCATCTTCATTCCATTCCTCACCTCCCCAAATTCAGTCAGCTGTATGAGGGTGTATATATGATGCATGTGAGAAGCCAAGGAAAGGGTTCTACACCATATTTTATTTAGTCTAAATATAACTGCATCAAGTATCATTGCAAGACTGACTGACTTGAAAAGAAGTTCACTGCTATCAAGCTTTGGTATCCCATGCCAAACACTGAATGGCTGACAGGCTAATTTTACTCTTAAGATCAACCACTATGATACAGAAAACTGCTTAAAAAAACCAAACCAACAAAGAAACAAAAACTCCAACAAACCAACAACCAAAAAAAAAAAAAAATCAACCCACAAAACCTAACAACACCACCTAGGGAGGGAAAAGAGGCCAGCATTGACTGAAAGCCTGTCTGACACACATAAAATAGTGCAGTGCCTCTGTTTAATAACAAAAGCTTTAATGAGAATGAGACCACATGCATTTCTTCCTCTGAAGTGCCCTCTTATTGAAACACTGCAAGAATATTGAAGCAAGTGAGGAGTCTACCATTTGTTCTTTGCCCAAGGTGCAGACACTGGCCAAATATATCAACCATGTAGTAACGCAGCATGTAACTTGAAAAGGTGAAGGGAAACAGTGAGGACAGTTTTTATAAGAAAACAGCACAAGTTTTCAGACTCATCTGACCCATTCACTGAATAGCATTCACCAAAATCAGAGACTAAAAGATTTTAAGCAGAAATCCCTTATATTTGTGCATGCTTTTTATTGCAACTGACTTGTAGAAAAGCAAGTGCAAACCATGAAAGCAATCAATAGTATTACAGGCTTGGATTTCACATTATACGCTAATCTAATATATACCAGTCCAAAGTCACTGTAGCTATCATCCCCATGAAGACATTAATTTATTTTTAGCATAGAAAAAACCACCACAGAGTTGTTTTCTTTTCTTCTTTGAAAGGTGCATATGAGTGCAGCAGGCCCAGAATAACTAGAGAAGACTATGACTGAGGTGGAACAAGCTGCAGGGCTGTAAGTGTTGCAAAATAATCCAGGTTGTATTCCATGAGAAATTCCCTGGATGTACAAACTGCACTACACAGAATATGCTTCTGTAAGATTATACTGATCTTGAAACATTCCATTAAAATGGAGAACACCAGGGGAAATCTCAAGCTTATTTAGTTTCAGCTACAAAACAAGCTATAAAGGCATGGAAAAATGTGCTTCTAGAGAACTTTTTAAATGTTCATTTTCTGTATGCTCAATATGGGATTACTAACAACATTCTGATCAAAAAATAATGTTATCAAACATACATTTATGACACTTCCAAATTCTCCTGTCTATGTCTCCTACTAAATAACAAATACAATTCTGTTTTGTATTGGCATTATCTTGAGACATTACTGCATAAATATGGAACTCCACTGATGTCACCAAAGAGCTTCCCTTCCAATGAATGGCTCAGTGCCCAGCAGTTTGTACTTATTCACTGAACCAGTCATTAAGGAATTAACATTCACTTCAAAAAAATCTTTCCTTCCCCCTTCAGTCTCTGTGGAAGAAGTGGAATTTGCTAATAACTCTGTGAAATACAATTTGAATTTCTTAAATAATTGCATTAACAGGTACTCCTGCATTAAAGACTGTGATCACAGTCCTGCTAAATCTACGAATTTGAATTTTTCAAAAAGTTGCAGAACCAGTACTCTGCTATGTGAAATTAAACTGAAACAACAGGGCTGCAAACCTCACTGTTTCCGCCAACTGAACCAGCAAACTGAAGAAAGAAGCTCTGAGAAAATAAGGATTAATGAAACCTGCTGTTGCAAGATTGGATTCCTTGGTAACTGATAGGATACCATCCCATCAGAAATCCCCCCCAGCTGTGCTTTACCTTTCCTCCCATGTAGAGTCACTGTGCCTGGTAATGGGTCAGACTTTGCATCACAGCCCAGGGGATTTTCATACAGCATCTTTTATTTCCTCAGATTCTCAAGTTCATAAACATCTAGAAATGTGGGTATCTTAGACTTTTTTCTCTTTTCCTTCCCAATTCCTTCCTCACAAAAAGTTGTGCTGGAAATTATTTACTTAAGAAATTACAGAGGATGAAAATGGTTGAGTTCTTATCACTATCAAGACATGTCTGCATTGTTAATGAATATTCTGTATTGAACATATGGGGTAGAGTGAGTATCCAAGGAATGCAGAAGGAGAAAAGAAGGATGCCAAGGATAGGTTCAACAAGGCCAAGTGCTGGGTCCCTAATTTGCATCAGAACAACTCCATGCAATGCTACAGTCTGGAGGAAAAGTGGCTGGACAGCTGCTTAGTGGAAAAGGAACCAGGAGATACTGGTCAATATCTGCTGAACATGATCCAGACAATGCCCAGGTGGCCAAGAAGGCCAATGGCATCCTGGCCTTTATCAGAAACATCGTGGCCAGCAGGAGCAGGGCAGTGATTGTCACCCTGTACTTAGTGCTGGTGAGGCCCCCAAACCCTGTGCTCAGTTCTGGCTCCCTCACGGCAAGGACACTGAGCTCCAGAGAAGGAGCATCCAGAGAAGGGCAACGGAGCTGGGGCTGCTTAGCCTGGAGAAAAGGAGGCTCAGGGGGAATTTTATCACTCTAAACTGCCTGAAAGGAGGATGTAGCCAGGCAGGGGTCGGTCTCTTCTCCCAGGTAATAAGTGACAGGATGAGAGGAAATGATCTCAACTTGCACAAGGGGCAGTTTAGATTGGATATTAGGAATACTTCTTTCACTGAAAGGGTGGTCAGGCATTGGGAAGGCTGTCCAGGGAAGTGGTCAATCACCATCCCTGGAAAAGTTTGAAAGATGTGTAGATGTGTCACCTAGGGCCATGTTTTAGTGGTGAACACAGTGATGTTTCGTTAATGGTTGGATTTGAAGATCTTAGAGGCCTTTTCCAACCTTAATGATTCTGTGATGAGAATATTATAACTTAACAGGTACAGAAAGAATCAGTATTTGTGTTTTCAGAAATTTACCAGAATACTCCTTTAACTCCACAATCCAATTTATGTTAAATTTTCCATTTCCATGCTATATGTAGCAAATGTTATCCTGCAAGTCTCTGAAGGTAACTGTCAAATCTCTGTAACTGAAAAAAAAATTCCTAAAAAGTTACTGATGAGTTCACAAATGTAATCCAAATTTGACTGTGCTCCATAATCATTCAGTGAAACCCAGTAACACACAGTGCCACTGCTCTCAAAGGTTTGGGAGGAAAAGTACAGAAATTATGTGGTATACCAGCATGAATTAAAAAGCAGTGTGTTTACTGCTTAGGGGCCAGAGGTACCTAGTGTTGTTGTCTGTTTAAGGGACTAGATACCTAAAAGAAGCCCAAGTGAATTTGAAGTACCTGTGCTAATTGGTATTCATTATTATTTCAAAAGGAAGACAAAACAAGAGTGAGCACGTGACATACATACAGCTTGTCTATGAATTTGGAACATGCTGCTGGCAAGCACCAGAGAGC